CCTTTCCTGGCCCCATCCCCGCCTCTTCGACCTGTTTGTTTCCTCTCCACCTATCCTCTCCTCTATCCCTCTTCTATCCGCCTCCCACTCTCTCCCTATTTATTTCAAAACCCCCTTCCCCTCCCCCTTTTCTGATGAAGGGTCTAGGCCCGAAACGTCAGCCTCTCTGCTCCTATGATGCTGCTTGGCCTGCTGTGTTCATCCAGCCTTGCACCTTGATACTACTGAGCTAGTTCTTTTCTTTGATGTGCCATTCCCAATATCTCCATAGCTCAGGAACAATTTCTGTTTCACACGTGGCCTGACCCTCTTTGCCTGTACCAAACCTTCTCATCTTAAGCTGTGTTGCTAACCAGAAATTTGGGTGTACTTATAATTCTACACTCACAATGGGGAGATACATGGTGCTCATTAGCAATGTCAGCCTTGATACAGTAACAACATTCTTGCATCCGGAATCAAGTCTCCATGAAAAGACTTGAATACATAATTCAGACTGACACTCCAATACAATAGTGAGGGAGTGCCTTGCATTGAGGATTTTCCTCTGATCTGCGCAGGTCTGTGGTGATGTTCGCAGTCAGATTCCCGCAAATAGATTCTGAAGTTTATCAACAGGCTCAAAACACAGACAATTCCCAATTTTTCTGTATGTCTCCTCTCTTGTCCTGATGGAAAAAGGACGGCCAGGAAAATAATGGATCTCAATTTCAGCACTGTCCCCCTGAAGTGATGACATGAAAGGGGATATATGCTCTCTTTATGAGCTTTCCAATAACCAATGACATGAGGGTACCATCATCAGACCATGGCAGTTTGATTTAAGTTCCATGTTAGCTAAGTAATGCTTGTATTGTACAGGAGGAAATCCTTCACCTTCTTCTTTGACTGTACACACAAAGCTCATTGATTTTGCTTAGCTGTTGTACAAATATCTCAAACAGGCACTTGACATTTGCAGTTTGTTTAAGATGGTCTATTACGCATCTCTCACTTTCTGTGGTTACTGTATGTACACAGGCAGGATTCCAAGCTCAGCTGAAAATAATACACCTAAGTATCTTGTCACCTGCTTAAATCCTAAGCTGCCTCAATTGCTGTCTTGATTGGCAGTTTGAATGGCACAGTTTTCCCAGGGTAGGGAAGTCCAAACCTAGAGGGCATAGGTTTAAGGTGAAAGGGGAAAGCTCTAAAAGGGACTGGAGAGGTAACATTTTTGCACAGAGGGTGCTGTTGTATGGAATTAGCTGCCAGAGGAAGTGGTGGAAAGGGATACAATTATAACACTCAAAAAGCATCTGGAGGGGTACATGAATAGGAAGGGTTTAGAGGGATATGGGCCAAATGTTGGCAAATGGGACTAGATTAATTTGGGATATCTGGTCATCATGGATGAGTTGGACCAAAGGATCTGTTTCTGTGCTATATAACTCCATGACTCTATGACTTAATAGTTTACGAAGCAATTTCAGTTCCCTTTCAGACAACCACACAATGACCTGAATGAAAAGTTACCTCAGGTTAGTGATCATCAGTGTTCTATACAAGGAGCTGCCATTCTATTCTGACGCATTCTGGAAGTTTTGGTTTAGGCATTTGACCTATCTTTCTGCTGACCGTATATCCACCTATAGTTTTACTCCAATTTCTTCACATGCTCTGTTCAAGCTTAACTTGCAGATTCTCATAAATTCCTTCCCTTAAACTGCATTGGTTTAACTTCTGTTTCTGTCCCAAAGCTACCTTTATCCAGGTATTGTCCAAACCACTGTTTTGCAGTGGAGTTAATGACAATCAACCTATTCTATCCTTGCAAACTATCATTCCATGTCCATCACTTTTAACGTCTTTATGTTACCTCTCAACAGAAAACTTCATTTTCTCTGCAAACCTCATTGTGATTCAGCCTCGCCAAGAAGGGCCCTGAACCTCAATGAGAGTCAGCAACGTCAGGGAATAACACCTGAGCCCCACCTGATGCCTTCACAGAGGAGAAAGCATGAACCCCAGAGACAGACATCACTTTTAGCAGGGAAGACAAAGAATGGGTACAAACAGTAAAAAAAATTACTCGGGAGTTTGCTGGCATTGAATTGATTAATGTGTACAAGCACCTCCCTGCTCTTCAGTTATCTCAGCTACTGCAGTTTTGTTAAACATATACTAAGTTACAATTCCTAACCTCCGGTCAACTGAGTACCTGATGGCACCACCAAGTCTGGAACGCAGCATTAGTAAGTCTGATTACACAATTAATCAGCACAATCAAACTTCTGTTTCACAGCAGCTAATGTCTCAGAACATGTCAAGGTTGATGGCTGGGGAGGGGTGGTGTGGAATTATCACTTTCTTAAGTGTGGCATATGGACCTCATATATCTTAACTATTCTGCTTAAATCAGGATGATTGACAGCAAACAATTCTGTTGAGAGAGATATCAGCAAATATCTTTACATTGCTTTGACAGTGGTAGCACTCTCACTTCTGACTCAATAATAAAAGGCTTGCATTAATGTAGAATGTGTCACAACCTCAACATGTCTCAAAGTACATTACAGTTTACTAAGTATCTTTTGAATTCACTTTTGTAATGTAGGAAACAAGGTAGCCAATTTGCACGCAGCAAACTCCAAAAAACAGCAATAATGATATGTTCAGATAATTAATTTTATTGAGAATAAACATTGTCTGAGACAGCAGAGAGTACTTTCCAGTTTTCCTTTGAAATGGTGCTTGGGAATCTTTGACATTCATCTGAAAGAGGAGTGGAGGGGTCTCATTTAATGTTTCATCTGAAAAACAACACTTCTGACAGGGCATCATGGCCTCATCAATATTGAAGCCTTTGGGTTGGATCTGGAATCTAAGCCTTCTAACTCAAAGTGAAAATAAATGAATCAAGTCAAACATTGGAATCACAGAATTGTTACAGCACAGAAGATGGTTATTCGGCCTGTTGTCTCGGTACCAGCTCTCAAATGTACCATTTCCATGTTTTCTCCCCATAACCCTCTACATTCATCCTTTGCAGGTGACCGTGTAATTCACTTTAGAATGACTTGATTGAACTTGCTCCTATCATACACTTAGGCAGCACATTCCAAAAATCAACAATTCACTTCAAGAAAATGTTTTCCATCATGTTACTTTTTTTTGCCAATTATCTGAAAATGTGCTGTCTCATTATAGCATATTCCACTAGTGGGATGTGTTTTTTTTCCCCATGATTTGAAAACATAATGCAGGCTGACATTTGATTGCAGTATGAGGAAGTACTGCACTTTAGAAATACCATCTTTCAGGTAAGATGTTAAATTAAGACTATACCCTCTTCAGTGAAAACACCCACTACACTATTTGAAGAGGAGAAGTGATTTCTCCAAATGTCCAAATCAATACTCCTTCCCAAACATCTTCAAAATAAATGATCTCATTATGGGACAAACTCAAAGAATGCTAGAGAAGTTCAGCAGGGCTGGCAGCATCTCTGGAGAGAGAAACAGAGTAAACATTTCAAATCCTGTATGACATCTTCAGAACTGACCTTTAATCTCCTGAATTTCTTTTGTGAATGATATCTTCTCTGCTAACTCAGGAGTTGTCCTATAGTATCATCTGGTGTATCTTTCATCTCTTGAATGTCTATCCTGGAAAAAATCCATCAAATTGAAGCAAATACTGTTCTCTTTGTAGTATTCTGGATTTCTAAACAAGGCAGTATCTTTCTAATTGGAAGAGGTTGTTTCTTTTATGCAGAATAATCAGGCTTTGTTATGTGCAAGGGATAGGGGCATGGACCTGTACATAACAAAATATGCAGATATCTCCCGTGTTCTGAAAAGGATGCACAATGTTTATCAAGGCAGTCAGTGTGTGGAACTCGATGACATAACAGGAAAAAATTGAAATGGGATCTGGGGCCAATCTAGCTAAAAAGCAGATCCACAGGTAGCAAAATCAGTGGATTACGAGAACTGAGTGTCTTGGATGCTTTAAACCAGACTAGTTCTTCTTCTTGAATGTATGGATATTTGTCTTGCTGCCATGAGAAATACACAACTCACCTCTTCTCCATCTTTCTGTCTCGTTATTGACCAGGTTGGACATCTTCAGTCACCCATTGTGGTTATTTTGTCAATGGTTCTCCTATCTTTACATTCCTGGAAAATTAGATTTATTCAGTCAAATTTATTGTTAGCCTAAAACCTCAATGAAGAGAAATTTAAGATGAGTATGTAAATTACCAGCTATAGACTGTGTCCTACAGTGAAATGTCCACCCCTTAGGAGTAGCTTTCCATCTAATTTTCTTACGGTCTGTGTGAGCTTCTGAGGCTCATGCATGGCAGCAACATCAGGAACTGGAAGTCAATGTCATGATCGGCATGCTGAGCAACAGGGCATCTTAGAGGGAATGTTGCTTAGGAGGTGTCAGACCCACAAAATTATCTCTGGATAGAATACATCTATTGATATGTTAGAGAAAAAAACAACTTGCCTAAGGTAACTAATATCTGTGTGTGTAATCCAAACTTAAGAATTGTAGGATATTGTTATCTGTTCATGTATTTGTGAGGAATTAAGCATAAAACTGCAATCTTTTAATACTCGCTTATGAATTTTAATTGTAAGACTCAAATCTGGATTACTATATCACAGAGTATATGGTAATTAGAGATTGTCTTAACATGACAATTTAACTTTAGTTTCACAGTTTTTAAAACTACCTTTTGAAGTAATTAGATATCGAAACAAATAAATGTGAAGAAGGTTATGCTCATAGTCCAGTATATTTTCTTAATAGGATGGAGCATTATTGTCTCAACTTGTAAGAGGAAATTCCAGCTCAAGGATCCCAACTCTTGACAGTCAAACAGAATTGCTGCTCTGGTCTGGCATGTGATTTTTAAAATTTAATTCTAGCTTTAAGAATTTTCTCCTTGTATCCTGCCAAATCCTAGCTTTTTTTATATTGTTAAATATTGTATTTCAAAAATTTTTGAGAATCGTAACAAACCCCTCTTTCAAGAGGTCTAATTTGAAGTATAAATAACATCACAGTTATTGGAGTTGTAAGGCCATTTCACACCTATTTGCTATGTTATCTGAGAACATGCTCCTGGTGACATTACACATTCTCAAACTGCTTAGTTCTGTTTCAAATTTTAACACTTTAATTGCTGCATAAATTTGGTGATTTTCTTTATAGGTTTCCTGGTGAAATAAACCTTTTCAGACTCTCAGTTGTGAGACTGAAAGATCGCTGCTCCCTCAGCACAATCACTGCCACTGGAATTATCAGCTCTGTTTTAGAAGATAGATGATTGCACATTTCCACCAGTCTTGTCAAGTATGTGACTTACTTTCTGTTCACAGCTGTCTTATTACAAAGTAAGTGACGTCATTGGACTGCTTCAGTTGTTTGAGTTCTGCCATTATTCTGGGAAGATTGATGAAGTCATTTACTGGTTGCTCCTTGTCTGGTTGGTTAATAATGGTTTGTTTCCGGACAAGTGGTTGGACAATTGTTTGCTTCTGGACCAGTTGTTCTCTGGGAAGTTTACCACCCCCTCCAAATCTTTCTAATGATATATATATACGGTTATAGAGTCATACAGCATGGAAACAAACCCTTTGGTTCAACTCCTCCATACCGACCAGACATCCCAATCTGACCTAGTCTTATTTGCCTGCATTTGGCCCATATCTCTCTAAACCCTTCCTTTTCATATACCCATTCAGATGCTTTTTAAATGTTGTACTTGTAACCACCTCCCCCACTTCCTCTAGCAGCTCGTTCCATATACGTGCCACCCTCTGTATGAAAAAGTACCCATTAGGTCCTTTCTAAATCTTTCCCCTCTCTGGAAGACTTTGACCAGATCATCCCATAACCTTCTAATTTCTAGAGAAAACAAGCTTAATTTGTATAATCTCTTTTCATAGCATAATCCCTGAATTCCAGGTATCATTCTTGTAAACCAATGTTGTACTCCTTCCAAGGCCAATATGTCTTCTTAATGTGTAATGCAAATCTGATCACAATACTCCAAGTGTAGGAAAATATAGAATCATAGAGTCATACAGCATAGAAACAGGCCCTTCGGCCAACCATGTCTATGTTGAGGTCAAGATATGCATTCAGGCTCAGAAATGAAGTTGGTTGGCAGAGAGCAACAGAACCATTTTCGATTCTCTAATATGCTTAATGTCATGGCGTAACTTGCAGCATTCATGCTTCTGATAGTGATTCCATCTATGTCATGTAGTCATATCTCAGTAGGGTGTAACTTTGCTTCTCCAGTCATGGTAAATGATGTTCTTTCAGGGTAGTAACACTTGCTTTTGAATAAAGAACAAAATCAACAGGGTGTGCATTGACATAGACAAGTTCCATCCTTTCTGGGTTTGTCTAAATTAGTAAGTTCCCCTAAGCATGCCTCTAGAATCTTCTCCAACAGAAGTATCTTTTCAAATGCAAGTGTCTTTTCTAAAGGTAGTGGGTGTACTATTTTGTAGACCTCTTTACATGTATGACCACCAGGATTCAGTATTCAGAAACATTGTCTTACTTCTGCACATCTTTTGGAAGTGATTTACATTTCTGTAAATGTGCAATCCTTTTTGGCAGCTGGACATTGTCTGTGTCTGTGAGCCTTTATTGTCCCATGGTGCTGGAACTGATTTTTGCATCAGGTATTGGTTTGTTCTTTGTGTCGGCTTGCCTCTTGCCTCCTGCCTCCTTAGAGTGTCCAATACTTAAAAAGTCAATAAATCCAGTTGTCCTCTTGAGGCGCTGTTGATCTTCTCCTGTCAGGAATTGTCTATGAATCTTTCTGATTTTTTTTTCAAAGGTCACATTCAGAGAGATTTTCATTCATCCATAGAGGCCATTGACGAGATTGTCTACTGATTCTCCTGGAAGCTAAATTCTTCTGTCAAATCTTTCTCATGTAAGAATTTTATTTGTTCTAACATTGAACTAATTATCAAAATATTTAGGTCACCTTCAAACATGTCTGTAGTCTCTTGGATGTATTATGAACATATGAACAAGGTACAAGTTATAGGCCACTCGGTCCTTTGAGTCTTCTCTGCCATTCAACAAGATCACAGTTGATATAATTTTAACCTCAAATCTACATTATTGCATATCCCAATATTGCTCATCTCCCTTGGAAAACAAGAATCAATCTACCTCTGCCTTAAAAATATTTAAAGATTCTGCATCCGATGCCTTTTGAGGAAGAGAATTTCATTGGCTCACAACCCTGTGGGGTAGTTATTTCTCCATATCTGTTTTAAGTGGATAACCCCTTATTTTTAATCTATGACACCTAGTCATGATTCGTTGAGCCCCAAGCCTTTTAAATCTTAAATTTTTCCTGACATTTCTTCTACTAGACTTTTCCACTAGATTTCTTTAAATTTGTCTGTTTTAAGCTTAAATACTTTCTGAAGTGTTCTTAATTCTACAGCCTAGGTTTCCATTTATTTTCTGAGCCTTTAATTTCCCTTGCAGGTGTACCTCATGGAGCCTAATGTTAATGCTCAATGTGATATGTGAGCAGTCTTTGAACGAACTCACAGAGGCTGGTATCCCATCACCAAGTCACCCTTTATTTACATGTGCATAGTACTTGACACAGCTCTTAGAGTGAACAGAGCCTCTGACACTTCTGTTTATGTCTGTCAGCCAGGACTGTCTGATTGGACGAGGTTAACTGCACCAATCAGGGAACTCATATTCTATGAGGTCCACCTGGCTAACATCATTACAATCACTACATCCCTCCTCCTCTAAGTCCAGGGATGTAGGCCAGTTCCTTTTCTTGTAGCCTCTGCTGAGACATTTTCACACCGGCTCCGATTCCTCCGACTCAGCCTCAGATACGGGGAACATGTACCAGAACATACACCACCTCTTGCGCCCAGAGCAACTTGGAAGAAATTCATCCTCTTCTTTAGGTGATAAAGGCGTCGAGGCTGCAATTTCTGCCATGTCCATCTGTGAGGTTTCTTCGACACTAGATGGAGGAGGAGAACCCATGGGTTCCAACAGCCTTTCCAGCTATTCTGAGGGAACGGACATGTTCACCTCCAGCCCAGCTTGCGAGTTTGCGGCTTCAATGTGGTCCATTGTTTATTCAGGAGCGCCTCACCTACCCAAACTTTGTATGTTAGAGGACCTGACCTTGTGTCAACCATGCCTCTTACCCATGTAGGGGCATTTCCGTAGTTTTGGCACCAAACTTTGTCCCCTGAAGTAAACTGTCTCTCTCACTTAGAGAAGACTTGTGACCAGCATTGGCACTCCTGATGCTGCTTCACCAACCTCCCAACCCCGGGTCCGGAAAGATCAGATTTAACCTGGTGCAGAGTTTTCTCCCCCTTAGCCACTCTGCTGGAGCTATCCCCTATAATACATGAGGAGTGGTCCAATAATCAAATAGGAACCGGCACAGTTTGGAATTGAGTGAAAGTGTAGGTTGTTTCTGAAATCCTGCCTTCAAAATTTGGACTACCTTTTCTGGCAGAACCATTGGATGATGGATGGTATGGATCTGTCCTTATATGCTGAATGTCTTTCAACTTTTGGAAATACTCAAATTCCTTGCTGATAAATGATGGCCCGTTGTCTGTGACCAACTTTTCTGGGAGTCTGTGTATTGCAAAAGGTGCTCGCCGCTTTTCTATTGTCATCCCCGTATTTGACGAATAAACTCTTATGCGGGTCCAACCACTTTGATTGGGTATCCACAATGGCTAAGAACATTGAGCCCGTGAAAGGGCCAACTTAGTTGACATGTAACCGAGTCCAGGATTTTCCTGGCCATTCTCACAAATGTGGGTGAGTTGCTGGTAGTAATTTTTGTACTTTTTGGCACTCTAGGCTCTGCCCCTCCCACCCCCAATATGGCTATGTCTACATCCAATCCTGGCCATCAGACATAACCTCTTGCCAACATCTTCATTTTGGACACCCCTGGATGACCCTGGTGGAGTCCAGCCAGTATCTGGTGGCATCCTTTGCTCAGAAATGACTGTTTCTCCCCATAATAAATTGTTGTCCCCTGTGATGATCTGGTATCACTGGGTCTGGAAAAGTTTCAATTCTGGTTGTGATGGCCCTTTTGCTTCCTGCAACATCACCATCTGTTTTAGTTTTGTGTCCATTGGCTGATATTTTCAGTGGTGACCAGAAGGATGTCCAGAAAGTTTAAAACAAGAACGGACTCTTCCAGTGGCGGCACCCCAGTGATATTTCTGCCAAAGGGAGACATTCAAGGCATCCACAGTTACAACTTGGCCTCCTGGACGGTATTCCATCTTATAATTGTATGCACTCAGAATGAGAGCCCACCACTGAATTCAACCTGAAATTATGGGCGGCATGACCTTGTCCTCTTTGAATAGCCCCAGCAGGCGATTGTGGCCAGTTCCTATTACAAACTTACATTTGTAAAGGTATTGGAGGAATTTTCTCAGAATAAAGATCACCAACAAACCGTTCTTCTCCATCTGGGCATATTTGCATTCTGCATCAGCCAAAGTCCGGAAAACTTACGCTAATGGGCATTTCTCTCCAATGGGCCATCTGTGAGCCAACCACTATGTCGATATTGTACAAGGAGGCATTGCATATCAGCACCAGATCTCACTTGGAACCGTAATGTGCCATTACTATGATAACTGCTTCTTCACTTCCCTAAAGACTATGTCTTAGCTACGAGACCATTTCCAAGGCTGACCCTTTCTCAAAAGCAGATATATTTGGGGCAGCACGGTGGCACAGTGGTTAGCACTGCTGCCTCACAGCACCAGGGACCTGGCTTCAATTCCAGCCTCAGGCAACTGTCTGTGTGGAGTTTGCACATTCTCCCTGTGTCTGCATGGGTTTCCTCTGTGTGCTCCGGTTTCCTCCCACAGTCCAAAGATGTGCAGGTTAGGTGGATTGGCCATGCTAAATTGCCCATAGTGTTCAGGGAGGTGTAGATTAGGTGGGTTAAAGGGGGATGGGTCTGGGTAGGATGCTTTGAGGTTCAGTGTGGACTTGCTGGGCCAAAGGGCCTGTTTCCACACTGTAGGGATTCTATGATTCTAATAAGGTTGCCACAATGGAGACCTATTAACTTTTCATAATAACTCACCAATCCAAAGAAAGACCTAAGCTCCAGGACAGACATGGGAGCTGGGGCACCTTTGACTGCCCTCACTTTATCTTCCAACAGGTGCAACCTGATTTTGTTGACTCTATAGTCCAAGTAGGTCACTTAAGGGTGCTTGAAACACATAGTTTTCCCTTCCAAGGCATATGCCAGCCTTGGAGAAATGTCTAAGAACTATTCCAGATTTGCTAAATGCATTTTATTGGCCTTCCCTGTTATTAGCATGTCATCCATCAAATGGTGAGTGGGGTAGACCTTGTAAAATGTTCTTCATCACCCGTTGAAAAATGGCACAGGCTGATGATACCCTTAAGGATATTATTAGAGCATACCTCTGGGAATTCTCATCTAACCGCAATTGCAGGTACACATGGCTCATGTCCAGCTTCGTGAAGGACAACCCCCGTGCCAGCTTTGGGTATAAGTCCTCTATGTGAGGGATTATGTATTTATCCAGCCGCAAGAAGCGGTATACCCTTTGTTTAAAATCACCATAAAGGCGAACTCACCCAGAAGGCTTCACAATCAGCGTCAATGATTCCGCAAGCTGTACTGGTTTGATGATTCCTTCACATTCCAGCCTCCTGATTTCTGCCTCTACTTCTGCACACAGGCAAATGGCACTGGGTGGGCTTTGCAGAATCGTGGAATTGCTTCCTGGTCAACAGGTAAGGTGGCCTTGGCTCCTTTCATATACCCTAGACATTCCTGAAAAACTTTAGGATTTAATCAGGACTTTACTCAGGCAGACATTTTCTAATTGAAAAATGTTGAGCCAATCAAGGTGAATGTTTCTCAACCAGTTTTACCCCATCAGGCTTGGGCCTGAGTCTTTTACAAAAAACAGTGGTAACCGAACCAGCTGCTTCTCATATGAGACCAGAACTGAAGTTGTACCCTTAATCTGTAAACATTCCCCAGTATAGGTTTTCAGTCCAGCCGAGGTCTTGCAGAAACTTATGAGTTGGAGTCCAGAGCAAATTTTGTTAAAGACTGGTTCTGCAATCACTGATACAGCTGCGCAGGTATCAACCTCCATTAGAGCCAGGTGACCATTTTAACCAGATATATATTTTGATTCTGATTTGGATGTTGCTAAGCAATGTAACTGTTCAAGCCAGGTGAAAGTAGGCTTTCCAGGGTGTGCACTCTCCTGGATACCGTCCTATGAGTTCTATTACTCAATTCCGGCCTATTGAGACTCTTTTGCTGTCTAGAGTCTGCATATTGGCAGCAAACACAATAGCTTGGTGGCCCAGATTCTGAAGAAAATGTTAATTGTTTGGCCAAGGCTTGGCTTTATTTTGGGGTTTTGCTATAGGGTGATCTAGAGTCCCTCTGTTCAGGATATGTCCTGAGTGAGGCTATGCAATCGCCTTCACTCAAGTGGTGTTCCCCAAGCTCAATCGGCCTGGTGAGGGTGTCCACTTCCATTGGCATACCCTGTAACTCAAAGAACAGAATCCCTACAGTGTGGAAGCAGGCCATTCAGCCGATTGAGTCAATACTGCATCCCATACAGATCCATAACCCCCTGCCCTTTCCCTGGAACATTGCATTTCCCATGAGGGAACCCGGAGAGAATGTGCAAACTCCACACAGACAGTCACCTGAGGGTGGAATCAAACCCAGATCCCTGGCACTGTCAGGTGGCAGTGCTAACCACTGAACCAGCATGCCACCCCTGCTTCATTTGCTGCATTTTCTAATGACAATATGGTCCCCGGAGTGGTAGGGGGTTTCAGTTGTGACAGGCAGCATGTCAGTGCAGGCTTAGAGGGCCGAAGGTCCTGTTCCTGTGCTGTAATTTTCTTTGTTCTTTGACAAAGCCAGTTGCAGTGCCTGTTTGAAGTCCAGTTGGGCTTCAGCTAGGGATGCTTTTGCATGATTACATCATTAATCCCACATACCAAATGGTGTGTCAGCATCTTGTTAAGAGTTAAACCAAAATCACATGCCTCTGCCAGTCATCTTAAACTCATCAAAAATCCCAACAAGATTCTCGAACAGCCGAGTAAAACCAATTGCGTCGCAGAATTAGAGGAGGCTCAGGGTCATAGTATTTCTTAACTAAATCTGTCAGCTCTTGAAAAATTTCAGAATCTGGTCCCTCAGGAAACAATAGGCTTCGAATTATCAAAAAAGCTGTCAGGAAAATTACTTATTGTTTTTCGTCTGCCCCAATGTCATTTGCCCGGAAAAATAACACATTCTTTCCACAAACTGGGCTCAGTCTTTGACGGCAGGATTGAATCAGACAAGGTTCCCGAATAACAGCATGATGCTAGGAATGCTTACCCCAACTTAGAGATGACTGATGCGAGCGAATTTCTTCAGGAGTGTATTTTTTTCTCTTGCCGCCACTGAAATAACTTCACTGAAGCAAATAACCTCTTATTTACTCATGCATAGCATTCAACACTGGTCTAGCTTCCCCAAAGCCAGGTCTCACAGTGAGCAAAGCCTCTAACACTCCTGTTTATACCTGTCAGGCAGGACTCCTTGATTAGACCAGGTTAACAGCCCCTATCAAAGAACTCATATTCCATGAGGTCCACCTTACTGACCTTGTAACAATCACTACAGTGTCAATTCTTAATCCAAATTTGGGTGTATATATTTTGTATTATTACTTCTTCTCATGATTAATAGGGGAGACAATGGCCTAGTAGTATTATTGATGGTCTATTAATCCAGAGACCCAGGTAATGTCCTGGGGACCTGGGTTTGATTCCCGCCACGGCAGATAGTGGAATTTGAACTCAATAAAAATCTTGAATTAAGAGTCTAATGACGACCACGAATCATTGTCCATCTGGTTCACTAATGTCCTTTAGGGAAGGAAACTGCCAACCTTACCTTGTCTCGGCTACATGTGGCTCCAGACCCACTGCAATGTGATTGACTCTTAGCTGCTCTCTGGGCAATTAGGGATGGTCAATAAATGCTGGCCTAGCCAGCGACACCCTCATCCCATCAAATCAATAAACTCACTCTTTCATGAAGTCAAGAAAATGAGTTTAAATCAGGTCCTTTTATAATGTAAGTTCATTCAGTCTGGGAACTCAATACCACAATTTGAAAGTTTGATGTTTCAGATTGTTAAAAGATTTAGTAAAAATTTGGATTAAATTTTTAACTGAAGGCCTAAAAACCCAAAAATTTTAAAAGCAGTGGCCACCTTCTTAAGGGTGGACACTGAGGCAATAATAATGATAGAGTAGCAATTGACAGACTAAAATTGGAACAGTGGAAATTAGAATTTCAATGACAAAAGAAAGAAAGGCAAAGTGAGAGAGAGGTAAATGGGAGGCAGAGAAGAAAGGTCGTGAAAAAAAGTAAGAAGCAAGAGGAAGAAATGGGAATGAGAGGATAGCTAGAAGAGAGTTTCGGGAAAAGCAGCAGGAAATGGAGTTTGAAATAAGGCAGCTCAAGCTGAGGGGAGGAATTCTTTTGTGTCATGTGAAGATAGCACTGGCTCAGACTTAAGACTGGATGCAACTCCGTTTGCTCATTCAATTCCTAGATTTGATGAAGCAAAGATGGAAGACATGTTTTATTTCTTTGAAGTGGGTAGCACAGCTGCTAAAGTGGCCCATTAGTTACTCTCTCTTGCTCATTATGAGGCAGTAAAAAAGGTTAGTTTGGAACACTTGTGAGCATGCCCTTGTTTGAGTCTTCATGTCATTTGTTGACTTTTTGTAAAATCTCTGGTAGCAATCCACTGATATCAAGCAGAGGACTGGGGCTATGTGTCACAACAAGAAAGATTAAAAGGTCCAATTCACCAAGCAGGGATATTCACCAATATTTGGAACAAAGAACTGACAGCTGTTCTGATTCGTTGCCTGAGAACATTAACATCACCTGAGGTGCCATTTGTTGCAAGTATCCACAATCATTAATTACTACTTTATTAACATTAAAAATTAAACACCAAACATTATAATGTTGAGTATTAAATTAAGAATTAAACTTCCAAACATTAAACATTTGTTTTACCACCCATCAAATTTTATAATCCACTGTGCTGGTGCCAACACTAAATGTCCTCAAACATAACATTGAACCCTGCCACCGTAAGGTTAGTGTTTGATGTCCATGGCATAAAGCTGGATAGATTCTGTTATTCTTTCACCTGCTGGTAAATATTTGAAAACATTCAATTGTCAGGGAAATGGTTAGTCTTGATACATCCTGATACATTCCCAGGAACCACTTGAGAGTGTTATTCGAATCAAGCCACTTCCCAACAAAACCAAGTTGCATGGGCTTGGAGCCTCCTATCAGTTTCTTTATCTCCTGGCCTAGATGTTTTTACTTTTTCACTTTTTTAATCCAAACTTATTCCAATGTTTTATTGTTGTCCTTGAACCGAGCTGCAACATCCACCACTGTGGTCCCTTGTTCTTTCTTAAATATCAAATCAGGTTTTGATAATGAGTCATCTTTGTCTTTTAACTATGGTTCAACGAATATTGTCCAGCCATATTTTCCCATGTATTGTTGTAATTTTGACATGATTTTATTATGTCATTTAATCCATGCATTTTTAACAAATGGGCAGTTTCTGTAAATGTGGTCTCATGTTTCTAGTGGGATCTTACATCTTTAATTGTCCTTAGACATGTATGGTCTACCTCTTGATAGGATCGTCCTAGTGGGGTATAGATTACAACACAATAACAAGCTACTGATCAGCCTTGATGCTTTTCTTTCTCTAGAAAGGCCTTGATCTCCTTTAGGACCTTGAGTTTGTGCAGTTCTTTCACTGTATCCGAGTTATTATTTCCACAGATTTTGAATGCGGTGAAGCCTGGCAATTACAGATGGTAGTCAGTGGTGAAGCGGTGGTCAGAGGTGAAGTCTGGTGAGCCCAGATGGTGGTCACTGGCAGTCAGAGGTGAAGCAGCGGTTGGCGGCATAGCAACTGGTGAGCCCAGGCGGGACTTGCCCAGTGGGGCTGGAAGTGCACCCAGCACTGTGGTGAGCAAGCCCAGCATCGGGAAAGCCCAGCATGGAATGTCCATAGCTTAAGAAAGGACTGTGATGTTTAACTTCTAACTTTATTTCTTTATTTTTCTACATTATAGTAAGAGGAACTGTAGTATTGAACTTTTTAATTTATTTCTTTATTTTTCTATTTTTGTACCTAAGATTTTGTACCTTGTACCTAAGATGGTGCCAGGAATGGCAACATTGTACACTTTTCACTGTACTCCTGTACTTGAGTACACATGATAATAAAATCTAAATCTATAATGTTTTCCAAGAGTGTGGTGTTTTTGTTAGGGCTGGCTTCACTGCTAAAAAAATGCTTCTGACTGGGGTTTATGCTATAATTTGCTTTTTGCTATAATTTTGCCATAATAGGCAAAGTAGTGTGGGACCAATTGAATGTGCCTCCAGTTATCAGTATTTTTAAAGTATCCCATATCTTCTGTTTCAGAATCAGGACTGTTTGACTCTTTTTAAGGGAATCCAGAATTGTGCTTGATTTTAACCATAGACAGAAGAGTCTGGGTAGACATATAGCATCACCATTGTGGATATCTTCCAATTTCATCTGGGCCTGTTGCCACCTATAATTCTTAAAGAATAATCATGTTTCCCTGAACCATGATTTTTTATTTGCCCGTCGACTTTTCACACCAGTATTCTTCACACATCCATATCTTTTATCTTTCCTGCCTTTCCTGCAGTTGGCCTGGGAGTGATTTTTAGATTGATCATCCCCATTGATTAGGAAGTTTGCAATGTTTTTCATGAGTCTTAATCCCAGTGCTCTGACTTCAAGATTACCTTTCTTATTTAACAATTCTTCAGCCTGAGTTGGTTGATGATCAATGTCACGACGGTTAAGATTGCAGAGTGGGGGTTGAATGACCGCATTGGTTTGTTGGGTGATCTCCCTTTTGAGTTTGTCTTTTGGACCAGTCTCTAGGTTATTCTCTTCAGGAGCATCAGGCACTGGTGTTTGGACTACCACTTGGATATTCTGCAACATTCTACACTTATTGGATATTTGTTTAGATGTTTTAGATGTAAGGATGCTTAGAATCTTTTTATTCATAAATGAATATCTCACAAATTGCTATTTCAATTGTTGAAGAAGATTTGTTACTTTTTCTGTCCACTTATAATTTCTCCTCCCTGGATTTGAATTGGCTTTTTAGGAGTCTCCAGGCACTTTTATTGCATAGCTCTACATGTCTATGTTGCTTATGTTGACCAAGGCCAATTTCTGATGAAAATGTGAACTCACACTTAGTGCATGTACATGGTCCCAATCATTTGGCTGGCCCACCTCCATTACATTTTGCATCATGACAGGTTAATGCATGGCATTCCCCTCTTTTCTGACACTTGGAACACCTTGTTTGAAGTTTTCTTTATTTGGTGTTTCTCAGCCGAGTGCACTCAAAAGTTGCCTACTGTCAAGAGTAGGGAGTTACAGAACGTACAAAACAATTCATCACTGAGGCGGTGCATCACCATCCTGTCTCATGTCAGCTCACTAATGCCTGGTACTGTAAATGCTGTCATATTGATTGTTTAGTCACTGATAGAATTGTCAACATCATCAAACAAAGTTTTCGTTCTCTATTGTTTATCTTTTAAATAGAAGATCTCTGTCTTAATAATGCTATAAATTTCCAATGGGTGGGCTGCCCATATGGTTTCTTCTATAATAGGCTTGGCTACATCCACTGGAATTCCAGGTCCGTGTAGGAAGGGTATAGTAGATTCTTGAGTCTCTCTTCTATTTCCTCTGTGTGGAAATGGACTTTTTTACCAGCGCTAATAAAAGGGCTGGAACTTGTGTGACAGTCCGCATTTTTCACAGGGCGCTGCCATAGAGAATCTGCATCCTGTTTATTCAGGATGCATGCCATCTGAACTGATTGGGGTCATTCAAATCCTCCATTTTCTACTCTGTTTAGGTAAGTGACACCTTGCACTACTAAGTATCCTCATCCATGCGGATCTATTGTTATGTCACAATTTTTCTCAGTCATCTCGCCAGCCAATAGCAAATGCCATTGCTGTTTCTGGTAAGGCCAGTGGGGAGGCACAATTGTTGTCGTGGCAGGCAAAATCACGTCAAAATTGCCACAGAGGTAGCTAACCAAACAAAGCTCCCATGGGAAACCCATCCACAAGAGTCATAGTTACTCCCACTTATGCAAGTGCCAGTTAGTGCTGGAAGTGTCAAAAATTCTGTATCCTCAAAAAACAACCTGATCAGACATACCTGGAATTTCATAGATCATAGAATCCCTACAGTGTGGAAACAGGCCCTTCAGCCCAACAAGTCCACACTGAGCATCCCACCCAGACCCATCCACACATCCTTGAACACTATGGGCAATTTAACATGGCCAATCCACCTAACCTGCACATCTTTGGACTGTGGGAGGAAACTGGAGCACCCAGAGGAAACCCATGCAGACATGGGGAGAATGTGCAAACTCCACACAGATAGTCGTCCAAGGTTGGAATTGAACCCAGGTCCCTGGCCCTCTGAGGCAGCAGTGCTAACCATAGAACATAGAACATAGAACATTACAGCGCAGTACAGGCCCTTCGGCCCTCGATGTTGCGCCGACCTGTGAAACCAATCTGAAGCCCATCTAACCTAAACTATTCCATTATCATCCATATGTTTATCCATTTTTTTTTCAGGGCATTTAAATGGTCTTTGGATAAACAATGACCATTTAAATGCCCTTAAAGTGGGCGAGTCTACTATTTTTGCAGGCAGGGCATTCCACGCCCTTACTACTCTCTGAGTAAAGAACCTACCTCTGACATCTGTCCTATATCTATCACCCCTCAATTTAAAGCTATGTCCCCTCGTGCTAGCCATCACCATCCGAGGAAAAAGGCTCCCACTGTCCGCCCTATCTAATCCTCTGATCATCTTGTATGTCTCTATCAAGTCACCTCTTAACCTTCTTCTCTCTAACGAAAACAGCCTCAAAACCCTCAGCCTTTCCTCATAAGACCTTCTGAGTCATCATGCAGACCAGGCTTAAGGAGATTGCTTTTGATTAGGGGTATGGATGTTGAAAACAGAAGCCACTTATGAGAACCTCTGTGAAATAATTCTTCCTGAGGAGTTTAAAAATTCTATTTCTTTTCCAATAGGTAAAGGTTTTCCAATAATAATACACCTGGAAGTAACAGAGAGTGACTAGGCCTCGGCAAGCAGCCACACTGGCTGAGGATTATGAGCTGATCCACAAGCACCTGTTCCAAACAAACCCTTGCCTGGTCGCCTCTGACCAACTGGAAAGGTTAGAAGTGAGGGAAGTGATTGGAATCTGAGTACCCATGGGAGAGTGAAATGCTGGGACTCCTACTCAGTACCGAAAGAGGGGTGCTGAGATGGAAAGTGAGATCCAGAAGCCTGTGTGTTTTAGTTGCTGAAACATAAGGCATTCTGAGGCAAATTGCTGAAGACTACAGGAAAAAATGAGTGAGATACATCAGGAGATACACTCCATGCAGAGAATGAGGGAGTCAGAGAGCATGAGAGACAAGGACAGGTTCTGATTGCAGCTGAAAATCCCTGTTAAAGCATTCCTGAGAGTGCAGATGAGGCAAATGAATCATTTAGAGTTACTGGGGTTTGCAACCAAGGGAAAAGTAGCCAAAATTCCCCAGGGTGAGATGAACAAGCCTATACTGATAGTAAGAGGTACCATGGCCAGCCAAATTGTACTGCTGGAGAAGTTACCACCTTTCCACCAGAGAATGCAGGAAGTGTCAAGGTGCTGGTAAAAGGAATTGAAGGAGAATGCATACCCACTCTCTTTTTCCAAGTGCACCTGGAATATGACCTTGTGTCAGGACCATAGGAGTTGTCCCACTCTGCCTGTGAACAGTGTGAAAAACCTGGTGAGATTAAAGTTGACAACATCTTCAGTAGTCATTGAGAAGCTTGTTGCAACTACTGGGAGACCAAAAAGCTGCAAGAGCAAGTGTGTTTGGCATTTTCCCTGACTGTGTTAATATGGTGTGGCAAGACAGCCAGTGGAGGCCGAGGTGACACTCCAATTGGAAACATTCTGGTCTAGTTTTCTGAAATCTTTGTCAGAAGCCTAGAAGACCCATTGGAGGTAGCAAATAGAACTTTTTTGATAGCAGCACAACAAACTGAACAATTGTTAAAAATACCAGCTCAGATCTCTCACACAGAAGTTGAGACAGAAATCGTCCCTGAATTCTACTGCATTAGAAATAAGTTGCTGATGAGGAAATGGTAACCTCTCACAGAGTGGACAGTGATCCACCTGGTAGTGGTGCCGCTGAGGTACGTAGGGAAATGGATAATGAACAAGATAATCATCCAGAACAAAGAACTGCCATTGTTGCCAGTAAACTCAGGCACATTAACATTGATATCACTGCTCTGCTGGAGACTCGAAGAGCAAGCGAAGGGCAACTAATTGAAGCAGATGGAGGAGACAGAAGATGTTAATGAGTTTTTCTGGACTGCTGGCCTTTGACAGGGGAATTCTGGAGGTGGGTACAATTACAACATTTAAAAGTCTTCTGGATAGATAAATGTATAGGAAGGGATAAATGCTGGCAATGGAACTAGGTCAGATTGGGAAGTCTGTTCATCGCAGATGAGTCAGCCAGGTCTGTTTCCATGCTGTATTATTCCATGACTTTATGACTGACTAAATCAAAAACCTTGGTAAGATCAATGAAGGCCATGTAGAGTGGTTGATGTTGTTCCTGGCATTTCTTTTGGAGTTGCTGAACAGTGAAAATCATGCCCATAGTTCCACAGGGAGACTCCTTGGCAGTTCCCATAGTCCAGTTTGTTTCCTTTTTTGAAGACATTGATGATGGTAACATCACTGAGATTGTCTCAGATTGTCAGGAACACTTGAGATGACATGGAAATGACAGGTAAACTTTGCTCCTCCAATTTTGAAAATCTTCTCTGGAATCCCATCTACTGTGGCTCTTCCATTCTTGGGAAAGCCTCAGTCTTCAATAAGACCTATAATTCCCGTGCCAATTTTTCAGAAGTCAATCAGCAAGGTTTCTTTGTCAAATTGGATACAAAATTGGTTTGACGATAGGAGATAGAGGGTGGTGGTGGAAAGGTGGTTTTTGGACTGGAGGCCTTTGACCAGCGCAGTTTCACAGGGACTGATACTAGGTCCAC